CACACAGCCCAGAAGACCCACACCAGCCTAGTCCTGTAGAGTTCAGTAGGGTCATTCATTAAAAGTTTTCTTGCCTTGGGTAGACATATTTCATTATAGAGACTTTTTCCAATCTTAGATTGGACTGACTATCTTTCAAAGTATACTGCTTGTCTGCAGCATTTGTTTTACTTTCTCTAATCACCTGTATCAATTTAAGGCTATTTTTATAATTTGAAAAATTTCAACAACTCAGTCTAGTGAAAAGCTTTATTGAAATCTAGATATAATATCAGCTGTTGCCCCTTGTTGACAAACACTAATTTAATTAAAGAAGACAATTCCAGTGGCCTAGTATTATTTTTCTCTCTCTCCATTAGTGGTTTTTATTGAGAATAATTTTGTTTTTAAATCTGTCTGCAGGAAATTGAGAGTCAAATTGACAGGATCTGTGAAATGGGAGAAGTTATGAGAAAAGCAGTTCATGTTGACAGCGACCAGTATTATAAAATACAAGAAAAGCTAGCACAATTAGAGGTAAGTGCTGAACCACTGTGAAGATTGTTGAAAGGGAAGATATTTGGTTTTTCAGCATCCAAACTTAAAGGAGAGTTGATTGTTGTCTATTAAAGGCTAATACATGCACTCTACTGAAGTAGCTTCATAGTTGTAGAAAAAACTTTGAAAGCAGAGTGATAATTCACACAGATGGAATCATGCATTGTTTTAAATGATGATTTTTAACCAAATTTTATTAAATAATCCACAGTTGACTGGATTTATATAACATGCTAATCTAATCTGCCCCAGCGTAAATTAAAAACCTGTCCCAGATTGTTCCATTTTATGTCAGGTTCATGTTTTGTATTTTCTTTTGTTACCAAATGAAAGTAAGTTATTAAAATTATATGGGATGCCATAAAATGAGCAAAGGCAAGAAGAATAAATGTACATAAAAATAGAAGGAGGATACATAAAAGGATGTATAAAATGTTAGGTTCTAAAATTATCCTTATATTTTTCTTCAGCAATTAATTAGAAAAGTTGTTTTAAAATGATTGTGCTGTGATATTTGGAAAGTGAAAAAATATTGTAAAGGGGAGGAAAAGTATTTTATATGGCAACATACTAAAAAAAAAAGCTTAATTTGTGATTGGAATGTGGAAAGGTATTAACATATTGAAGAATGCTATCTCTGGTAATCAAATATTTTAGCATGATTTAACACTAGGTCCAACTGTATGATCATTAAATTTTTGTTAATGAGCTAGTATCCATAGATGAGTCAGAAATATTAATATTGCCAGATTTCAGTGTGCAAAGAAATATGAAAAGAAAAGTTATATTCAACCATTAAAATCAGAATATGGGAATAAATAAAATTGGTTAAACTTAAATATCTCTAAGAAACTCACAAAATATGGAAAGCTTGGAATCCCATGATTTAGTATTCATTAGTGAAGTTAAATCTATCTGAGCTTCATAAATCACAATACAGATTTAATTATAAGAGTTGGACATAGAAACATTTATTTGATAATAAACCTTTTAAAAAGAAGCATGGAAAGCTATGATAGGAGTAATATTTAGAAAATAATTATGTATGTCACAAAAATACACTTTTATGTCACTGAATTATGAAATAATACACATATTATCTCTATTTATTACTGCCATTTCATACCTTGCTATTTTTAATTGACTTTTCAGCTTGAAAATAAGGAGTTGCGAAAATTATTATCAATCAGTAGAGAATCTGTTGAAGTGAGGCAAGAGTTACCTGATGATGCATCTCAAGCTACAAAACCTCAGTCCTGGAACAGCTGATCTTGAAAATTGGTAACTGTACTGCAGGAATGTATATGCTTCCTTTCCAAGCTGACCTTTGGTCTTCTCTTGGATACCATTCCAAGCCTGTTACCACATTGTACATTCTGTGCTTAGGGAAGGGATGTTGGAATGCCCCTTCTTTTGATTAAGAATTGTTCTGCTTAATCATACAGAAGAGTGTAGTAAATGTTTTCTTTAGGTTACCCATGATTTTAGAAATCTCAGTTGGATAGAGCAAGGATTATCTTAGCTTTTCCAGTGTGAGCAAATTACATAAAGCCAAGTCTTTCAGCATGGCTTTAAATTCATTGGAATTCTGTTCTTAAATATGTTTAGGATACATTGTTGTACAAACCTTAGGCACTCCCACGTCTAATGCTAGAATTTCTGCTTCTAGCATTGCTTGGTGCCACATTTATTGTGTCATTTAAAAATAGATTGTCATATTACCTATATCCTAATATCAACAAATGCAGAAAATAACACACAGTATTCTGCCAAAGTGTTCGTTGAATCCCCATGCATATGACTATTTCACACAGGAGATGTCTCTGTGGGTTATAGCAAAGTCTGGTATTTCTGCCAACCTAGAATGTTTCCATGAGTGTGCTAATCCATTATGGGGCATATCCTCATTAGTTCTTTTTTATCTTTGTCAGTATCTACTTGATCAAGGAATCTGTCTCTAATTTCTTATAGCCACATTAAGCCCCAGTGTATGGGTGTCAAGAAGGAGAGATGTGCAGAAAACAAGTCTTTGTTGTTTCCTATGAAGATAATTCTGTATGCAGGCATTTGCACAAAGAACAAATATGCTGTACATGTTATTCCTGTGAAAGGTGAATTTACTTTTTTTGCAAGCCCCTGCCAGTATTTTAAAAATTATTTTTGTTGACAGATTGATGATTGAAGACACTATCTCAATAAGTATTCCTAATATTAATATTATTACTTGAGCTTTTAAGTAGGTGTTGGTAAAATTGTCTTGATCCTGAACTTTTTCAGAAAAAAACATTCATTGCATTGATTTGAACAATCATTAAAATAGTAAGTTATAAACTGACTGTCTAGGATTTCAGTTAAATCCTATTTTTATTTTCAGGCTTTTAAAAAGTTTAATATTTTGTTTCTTCATTTGCTTTGGCCTTAAAAAGTACTTGCCAACATCCCTATACCTAATAGATTTAATGACTGTATTATGAGGGTAGACAGACTAAGATCTATCTAACCATCATGTGTCTATATGAATGTCTTCATTCGGATAGTATGCTCCAAGATTGTCTATTTAACATATTGGTAATATGTTGTAAACTGTACAAATTAGAAATGTCTCTCTTCTAACATTTCTTAGGCAAAAGAAAGTGTTCTTGCTTCTCTGATGGTAAAACAGAATCTCTGAAATTTATATGTATTGTCCACATCTACTCTTGCTTTCCAGGTTTAATCAAGCTTTAGGAATAAAACTAAAATAGTCAACTCATGTCATGTTTCCTTCTTTCCCCATAAGTGTGGTGGAAAGAAGTGATAGGCTAATTGATCAAATTCATTTGGGAGTATTTTCAGGCCCTCACACTGAAAATTTTACTTTAAAGGCTGAGCAGACAAAAAAAAAATGGTTAAAATGTGGGCCATATTTCCATAATGCAATCAGCTGAACAAACTCAGTATCTTTGCAGTGTTATGCCTTAAATATATGCCATTAGTGCCATCTTCAGAATTAATAAGCTCTTATAATGAACTGCAGTTTGCTCAGTCTCTGTATAAACTCTGGATTATTTTGTAAATATCCTGTAGGATGTAAATTTAATTACCTACAGAGGTGGTGTGCTATTGTTTACCATCTTATCAGCCTGTTCTATCCAGTAAATTAAAATTTAAAAAGTTCTCTTTACCTCTCATCTTATTAAATATGTATATTGGCTCATTATTTTTTTGAATAAATGTTTTGAGGCAGTATTGTATGTTAAGGTTTTTTGTACAGAGAATTATTTATGGCAGAGGATTAGGAACTATTCACCTTTTAGATGTTGTTGTACAGCCCCAGCCGATGATTAAGGATACTGAAACTGTAGTTTTGCAACATGAAAAGGGCCATAGGTTATCTCTCCTGTGATGTTTTTGGACATAGTTTAGATTTTGCTGATATCAATGTTTTCTGGTCAAATGCTTGGACATTAGAGTTATATTATGTATTCAACTTGTAAATTAGATATAATAAAGAAATACTATAGGTTCACATTTGTGAAAATGATATGTTGATTGTGAACTGAGGATGAATGGAACACTCCTCAAATATTGCGATCCACTTGTAAATTCTAGTTTGCAAGTATAAAACTTTGCTAGATTCATATACTGTTTTTACCCTGCTTATTATAAGCCATATTATAACTTAGAGCAGAAAGATTATTCTTTCACATGGCCACTAAATAAATTTATTGTTGCCTTCCATTATGTATCAAATTATTTTCTGCTGCTCCTCAGCCTTACAGTCACATCCTGTAAGCAACCAGCTACATACTTCCTGTCACCAATCAAGAAGCAGGTTTGCCTACATTTTTATAAGCGTGCTCCACATACCTGAGCATTACTTTGCAATAACTAGGCTACTGCTAGAATAAAACTATGCCTCTATGTTAGAAAATAGCAATTCAGTTAATAGTCCACATTGTAGTTGTCTATTTTAAAATTGTTATAACGGCTTGGACCCAAAATGCAGCATGTTTGGTTCTGCACTCATGCTTATTTTCTGCTTCTCTTATGGTGATAGACCATATTCTATAGAAAGCCAATCCTGAAGATTTAGCAGAAGCAGTGACTTTTGAATTTGGGGAGATAACCCCATTAAGCTTGCAGAAAGTCTGGCTACATTGCATGGCAACTCTCTGGACACAGTTTTAGGATTGATCCAGAGAAATAAAATTATAATGAATTATATATAATGTGTATATATATATTATATTATAGTAGAGAAGCCTGATGATCAAGAGGAAGAGGGCAACCAGTTCTGAATGGATTTTGAAAGCATGTGGCTATGATGAGCGATTACCTACTTATAAAACAGTTACATGGTAGACATGGCCAGTCAAAACGTTCATTTATTGGCTGTAGATAGCTCCTCAGGATATTGTCTGCTGCCCCAGTTTTACCACTGACATTTCTATAAATAAATATGGTGCTAGAAGTATGTGCTTGGCTTGTATGCTAGGTTAGTTTTTTTGTTTTTTTTTTCAAAAAGATAGATGGGGCAGGGAGCCCGGTGGGTACCAATGGAAGTGTCCTGGGTCAAAGTGGTGCCCAAGGGCATTACTACTCCACCCTATGCCAATAACAGTCATCACTGTTGGATAGAGTATAGTAGTATCCTATAAAACTGTGTCGAGTGCTTTCTTAAATCCAATTAAGTTTGTCATATACCATGATTGGTTGCTATTTGGTAATTATTATAGTAGAGTTGTAAGTAAAATATGATGCAATATTCTGATTTGATTAATTTTATTTACTTCAGGATTTTTATTCTCTGGTGTCAATCTAGAGATAGCCTTTCATATGATATTGACTATATCTCACAATGTACATAATAATGGGAACTTAGCCACAATGTACATAGCCCAATTTTCTTGTATGATGTCCTGAACAGTAAGTTAACCACTGGAGCTGGATAAGATAAAGTGTGCTCGGCTAGATCAGTGTTTCTTAAACTGATTCATAGAACACCAGGGTTCCCAGAATAACTTGAAGGTATTCCATGAACTGATTTCATTGTGCCACCAAATACCTTGAAATGCCACTGCTTTGTAGGGGACAGAAACTCAAAACTAGCACTTTATAAAAGTAGCCTGTGCATTTTAACAGCTCAGGAAGAACTTTATCAGATACAAGAGATGAATGAAAAATAATACCTGTAATTCTATAACTTTAGTTTAAATAGATATTTTAATAAAGTAAACAGAAAAATAATCCTTGAAATGAGCCCTTTTGTTATCTGTATTTACTTTTCCACATAATCACCAGTATATGCTACACATTTTTGCCAACAATGGACAAGTTTTTTAAAGCCATCACAAATTAACTCAACATTTTTTCTCTTTAACCAAATCTTAACAGTCCTTATTAACTCTTCATCTGAGTCAAATACATGCCCCTGAGGGTATTGCTTCATTTTGGGAAATGGTGGAAGTTACATGGGGCTAAATCTGGACAGTATGGCAGATGGGGTAAGACGCTGAAATCAAACTGCACAACTGCCTCTTGGTGGCTTGTGAGGTGTGAGGCCTAGTGTTTTCATGTTGCAGCAAAATTTCCTCCTTGTGCTTCCAAACCCTGCTTAACCCTTCTTTCAAAGTTTCAAAGTTGCAGTGCAGTGGTACCAGGTTCAAGGAAATCCAAAGAATCCATCTGCATCCCAAAAACTGTAACTATGAGTTTTCCTGTAGGAGCCTGGGTTTTGATTTTTTTTCTCCACAGGTGAAATTTTGTGATAATATTTCATAGACTGGCACTTCATTTCTGGATCATGATGAGCTCATGTTTTCTTGGCTGTCACAATGCTGCAAAGAAATTCCTCACTTTCATTTTCACAGCACGATAAGAATTGCTGGCAAATTTCAACTCTTGAAGCTTTTATTTCTGCTGTCAACATATTTGGAATTCATCCTGCACAAAACTCCAGTATTGAAGATCAATAATGTGACCCACATGTTCCTGCAAATTACAAAGCCTGATTGCAATTTTCCTTAGAATGATTCACTGATTATCCTTAATCAGTTCATCAGTCTTTCTCATGTGAAACTTGTCAGTTGATACCACAGGTTATTTGTTCTTGATCACGCAAATCAGCTCTTCTTGGCTGACCATCTTTACAGTTTTTGGCCCATTGGCTTACAGTATCATCATCATAAACAACCTGCATTCAGCAGTGAATTTCAATTGAAAGGATTCCTTTGGCAGTCAAAAATTCAGCGAAGGAGAATTGCTTAAGCCACATGGATGAATACTCACTGCAGATTTCCATTTTGCAAACAATAGCAACAAAGCATTTTTCACAGCAATTTCCTGCCAATTGAAGTGAAGGAACAGATGCTAAAGATCATGTCATAGGTTCTAGCATGTCAGTTCTGCCATCTGTTGGTGATTTATAACATTGGAGGCATTACATTTTATTCAACTCTCATTTAATAGTTGGATTCATATATCATGCTAATCTATAATGTTTGGGTTTGACTTAGCATGTTGTGTGAGCACAGCCAATTGTGGCTTATTTAAGAAATCATGTATAATTAAATTAGAATGTAGCACACGGTGTGAGACCAGTAAAAAGAGTTATTTTTCCATTCTCTTGTACAGCTTACTATTTTATAGTGGGGTGGTTTAAGAGAAGTATACTAAATCAGCGCAAGTGAAGATATGAAAGGAAAAAAAAAAGCAGTGGCTGAATTAATACTTTGCACTAAGCCATAATGTGCTTTTAGTTTAGCAAGTTCTAAGAAATTAGCATTTCTGGGTTGTAACTTATTAGGATGTGCAAATCCAGCCATTATTTATTTATTAATCACATTTATATGGCTGCCCATCTCACAAAAAGTGACTCTGGGTGGTGTACAACAATCAATAAAATAAATAAAAAATCATTATGGAAGTATAAAAAGTCATTAAAAAAGGAAAACGCTATTAAAAATTTTAAATATACAAACCATATGTAGAGAGTAAAAAGTTATTTAATATTCTATAACTAAATCATTGCTTAGCAATGTGAATGAAGCAGATTAGTACATTAAAAATATTGGAGTAGTAAGATCGCTTACCTTTCCTGATGTTGATATGATAAGACTATCAAGAATCAGCTGCATCTTGAGTTCTTCCTTTGTTTTAGAGTCTTTAATTAAGACTCCAGTCTTGGACACATATGTTTAGAAACACATATGTTAATAATGAATTGTACTTTTGGTCCATCTAGCCCAGTATTTTAAATATAAATAGGAAGGGTCTTTTTAAAAATATCAGGCAATTAAAATTAAAAGAAAAAAAAAAGAAGTATTCTGGCCTCCTAAGGAATATGCCCTTCTATTGGGTAGATAATTTCTGCTTACCCAACTAATTGTACATAAATTTTAAGAATTTAAATACTGTGGTTTAGCCATGCTTTCAGAACTGTTTGCAGATATATTAACAGAAGCCCTTTTCAAGTGAACATTTATATGGACAATTGAACGCAGATGTAAAACAATTGTCTACAGTGCAAAATCTTTGTATAGATGTGAAGGCTTTCCTTTGAGCTGAAATCCTGCTGCAGACAGTTGTGCTACACTCACACTGTAGTTGCAGAGACTGTCAGAGAAGCTGAGAAAGGGGAAGGCCTCCTCACTCTTAGTCATGTTTTCAATTCTGCATGCAAATATGTTACCTGAATACAGTTTAAGCAACTACCATTATGGATATCTAACACTAGATTAAAACTTTAATCTAGATTACAAAATCCATTTT